ACCTGCAGCTGTTTTTAGACTACATTTGACAAATTCTAGAAAATGAAGTCCAGTAATAGCTGATTTTAGATAATACAGATCACTTATATCAACTACCACACAATACACTCTTTTAATTGACTAAAAAAAAAGTAGTGTTAAAGAATAATCTTAGACATGACCAATAGCAAAACATCAAATATTTTTTATTGATTTTATAGTATACATTTTATTTATAATTATTTTAAGGCTTGATAGTATATGCAAGTAAAAAATAAACACCAAGTAGACATTAGAATGACACTCATACTGTCCCTTTGTGCTGCCCAATTATATGCAGTTCTATGTAGTATATTAATTTATCAGTGCTGCCTGGTAGAATTTTATATTTTTTTTATATAGATTTTCTTTTATTAAACATATTAAAAAGGTTTGGAGAATGTTTGCATGCATGCACAGTGAATTTCTCCTAATAGACAATATATGTTTTAAAGATATGGCTTTATTGCTTAGTAGTTGGCTTAGTATGTTTTAATGCATTTATTTTGTGCATATTTTTCTTAATAGTTGTATTTGCACATATAAATATTCCAATAAATGGTAACAGGCACTGGACTTCTGAAATGTGATTTATTGTGTCAAACTCCAAAACTCCAGACATGACACACATAGCAAACGTGCAGTTCAACGTTTCAAACCTACAGGGTCATTAACAAGACAAATGCCATTCTGGAAGTTTTATGAGTGCTACAATGTATTGGAATATTATATGAGAGTGGGAAAGCGCTGAGGCTTGAGGAGGTTGCCAGATAAGATATATATATATATATATATATATATATATATATATATATATATTGTAATATTTTATTACAGTTTTATCTTTATGGTGTGTTCCATTTCATTCTGAGCATGTCTGGTTACTGTTCTAATCCTTTATGCAGCTTAAGTGATTAGATCACAACATTCTTCTTAATCTAATATTTTCTCAGTACAGTTTTCTTGAGCTGTGTTCAAGCTGTGTAATTCAATGTCCCCAGACACACAGGAGAATTATAAAGAAAAACAAATCCTTAGCAACAGGGGTCCGCTGGAAAGAGATTTTTTAATTGGAAATTAAAATTTTGTGACGAAACACTACCAGGAATGTAGGTCTGCTTGGAAGGAAGGGCTTGTCCTTACAGACAGGTATTGACCCCTGTGCCCATCCAGATATCAACCCCACTACCTGTGCTCTGTCTCCTAGGCAGGTATTGACCCCACCTCCCGTCCTTTTTCTCCCAAGCAGGAATCAGCCCATTTTCCTGTTCTGCTTCCAACTACTGCCTTTACAATTTGTGGCCCTCAGATCTTGCTCTTTTTTGATATGTCCCCGTACCAGAGAATAGTGCAGCCAGAAAGCATGTCCAAAAGCTCTGTTACTGGGATCCCTGAACAAACCAAACAGAACACACAGTTCTCAATGGAACTACCACACAATACTTTATTTACTATAAAGACACGCCCCTGTCTGTGGTACATTAGACTTATGGTGACACACTAAATCCCTGTGGAAAACAATGTGGGGCGTACATGTAGAAAATTAAAAACAAGAATTGAAGTACACTTGAGAGCCATAAGAAGTAAGAACATTTACCATGGGCTTCCCATCTATTTTCTGGAATTAATAGTTAAAGCAATAGAATCCATCAACCCAACGAAAAGGGGAGGGGATAGATTAAGAATGCTTTGAAAAATAAAAACCTATTGGAACATGGAACTAGGCACTTTATATAATAAAGGGCATAATAAAAACGTATATACACTATTTTACATTGGGGTTTTTTTTCTCAAGCTTTAAATACACTAGTTTACATTGTTTTTAGTTTTCTTCAACAGCTTGATATAAACGTTTTTATTCAAATTTTACATTGGCTTTGTATTGTTGAGGCATGTGAAGTATACAACACAGGCATTGTCAGTGGTAATCATATCTTCCAGTAATAAACAAGTAATACAGCCTCATTTTATAATTAAAGACAAGAGAAAAACAGTCTATACTTGGTTCCATTTTTGTATATACCTGGAATTTTATGTTTTCTCAAATCAGTACTGCCATCATAATAAATTCTTCTAAATTTACTGCCTATTTATCAAAGTTCAAACTACAACTCTGCTCTCTGCCTGAACGTTTATATATTTTTAGGTTTTCTCAAAAGACTCATGCATCTGATAATACAATTTAAATAACTTTAAGGTATAAATTACACTTTAAGTTTTAAAAATGGATGTCTGCATTTTGAGCCATATATTTACTTTTAACACAACTCATGATTAAAATTCCACTGCGGAATGATCGGTGATTGTTCGTGCTCCCTGACGAAGTGAAGTTCACTCGTGAAATAAGTAGAAGCTGGAAAAGAATGATCAGTGAGCAGTTGTAGCTATCGACAGGACAACACAGAGAAGCCTTGCACCATCTGCTCTACCATCTGCTCTCTGCCTGGCTACTATAGCATCACCAGTTCTTTGGTAACAGTCACTAGCCCTTGTAAGAGCCATTCAGATCCACAAAAGGTTAGGACTATTTTATTTCTACATTAGCACTAGAGAGTGCTACTGTCTAATTTATATACTACAGACCTTTTGGTACTTGATTTGCACTTATGAGTACTACCTGTGCATTCACCTTGGTGACTGTTATGAACTCAGCAGGGACTTACTACCATCTACTTACATAGTCACATAGCTGAAAAGAGACTTGCGTCCATCAAGTTCAGCCTTCCTCACATATGTTTTTGCTGTTGATCCAAAAGAAGGCAAAAAAACTAGTCTGAAGCACTTCTAATTTTGCAACAAACTAGGAAAAAAATCCTTCTTGACCACAAAATAGCAGTCAGATCTCTACTTGGATCAATAGCTATTACCCCACCAATTAGTAATTATATCCCTGTATGTTATGTTTTTGGAAGTATGTATCCAATTGCAGTTTAAACATCTGTATGATAAAACCACCTCTTTAGGCAGAGAATTCCATATCCTTATAGTTGTTACTGTAAAAAAACCTTTCCTTTGCCTTAGATTAAATCTTCCAGCCTAAATGCGTGACCTCGTGCCCTATGTATAGCCCTGTTTATGAATAGATTTCCAGGTAATGGTTTGTACTGGCCCGAAATATATTTGTATATTGTTATCATATCCCCTTTGAGGTGCTGTTTTCCAAATTTAAGAGATTTAAATGTATTAACCTTTCTTCATAACTAAAGTGCTCCATTCCTTTTATCAATTTTGTATCTCGTCTCTGCACTTTTTCTAGTGCCATGATATCCTTTTTTAGAACAGGTGCCCAAAATTGCACAGCATATTCAAGGTGTGGTCTAACAGCAATTTATAAAGAAAAATTCAATTTTTATCCCTAGATCTTATGCCCCTATTTATACATGACAAAACCTTACTAGTCTTAACAACTGCAGATTGACATTGCATATTGCTGCCTAATTTGTTGTCTCTAGCAATTCCCAAATCCTTCTCGTGTGTGGTTATCCCTAATTCATTACCATTTAGGGTGTAAGTTGCTCGTGCATTCTTGACCCCGAAGTGCATTACTTTGCATTTCTCTACATTAAATTTCATCTGCCATTTTAGTGCCCAGTCCCCCAATTTATCGCAATCCCTCTGCAGCAAAGCAATATCCTGCTCACATTTTATTACTTTACAAAGTTTTCTGTCATCTGCAAACACTAAAACATGGCTTTCAATGCCTATTGCAAGATAATTTATAAATATGTTAAATAGAAGCAGTCCCAAAACAGAACCCTGAGGGACACCACTTACCACTTTTGTCCAGTTTGAAAATTTACCATTAATGACAAATTGTGGTACTCCATCCTTAAGCCAATGTTCTACCGAAGAACAAGAATATTCATCTAGACCAAATTCTTTTAGTTTGAAAACTGACATATTGTAAGGATCTTTATCAAATGCCTTGGCAAAATCCAAGTAGATCACATCCACTGCAACACCCTGATCTATACTTCTACTTACTTCTTTGTAGAATGCAATCAGGTTAGGTTGGCATGACCTATGTTTCATAAAACCATGCTGATTATTGCTAATAACAATGTTCTTCCCAATGAATCCCTGAATATTATCCCTTAATAGCACTTCAAATATTTTCCCAGTCACAGAGGTTAAGCTCATAGGTCTATAATTGCCAGGCAAGGGTTTTGAACCCTTTTTTAATATATGAACAACATCTGCCTTCCTCCAATCCTTCGGTACAATACCTGAAACAAAAGAATCTTGAAAGATTAAATACAGAAGTTTACTTATTTCCTCACTTAGCTCCTTAAGTACTCGTGTGTGAATACAGTCAGGCGCCGCAGCTTAATTTACATTAATTTTTTTTAACTGCTGTAGCATCTTGTCTTGAGTCATCCAATCACAAGTTATCTGCAAGTTTTTTGCAGCAATCATTTGCATATCTCTTACCATGGGATCCTCATTAGACATGTGCAATTCGTATCAGATCAAATGGAAATTTCGGACATTTGGATGCTTCCGATTGTCCTAATGTCCGAAGTGCCAAATTTCGGAAGTGCTGAACCGAATTGTCGAATGTCGGAAGTGCAGAAGTGCTTCGGACCTCTTAAAAGTGGAAAATATGCATGGGTAGAATTGGGGTTGGGGTAGGGTTAAGGGTAGGGTTAGGAGTAGTGTTAAGGGTAGGAATAGGGTTAGGGTAGGGTTAGGTTAGGAGTAGGGTTAGGGTTGGGTTAGGAGCAGGGTTAGGGTAAGGTTAGGAGTAGGGTTCAGGGCAGGGTTGGGTGAGGAGTAGGGTTAGGGTAGGGTTAGGATTAGGGTTAGGAGTAGGTTTAGGGTAGGGTTAGGAGTAGGGTTAGGGGTGGGATAAGAGTAGGGTTAAGTGTAGGGATAGGGCTAGGGTTTCGGTTAGGTTTGGGTAAGAAATAGGGTTAGGGTTAAGGTTAGGAGTAGGGTTAGGGCTAGGGTTTGGGTAAGGGTAGGGGTAGGGTTAGGAGTAGGGTTAGGGTTATGGTTAGGTTAGGGTTAGGAGTAGGGTTAGGGTACATCTAACCCTACTCCTAACCCCAACCCTACCCTAACCTAACCCTACTCATAACCCTACTCATAACCCTAACCCAACCCTAACCCTACTCCTAACCCAACTCTAACCCTAACCTTACTACTAACCCTAACCCTACTCCTAACCCATCCCTAACCCTTACCCTACTCCTAACCCTACCCTAACCCTACTCCTACTTCTAACCCTAACCCTACCCTAACCCCACTCCTAAACCTAACCCCACCCTTACCATAACCCTAACCCTACCCAAACTTAACTCTACCCCTAACCCTAACAATACTCTTAACCCTACTCCTAACCCAACCCTACTCCTAACTCTAACCCTAACCCTACTTCCCACCCTAACCATACCCTAACCCTTCTCCTAACCCTATTCCTAACCTTAAGCCTTCTCCTAACACAGCCCTAACCATACTCCTAACCCAACCTTAACCCTACTCCTACTTCTAACCCTACCCTAACCCCACCCTTACCATAACCCTAACCCTACCCAAACTTAACTCTACCCCTAACCCAACCCTAACAATACTCTTAACCCTACTCCTAACCCAACCCTACTCTAACCCTAACCCTACTTCCCACCCTAACCATACCCTAACCCTTCTCCTTACCCTATTCCTAACCCTAAGCCTTCTCCTAACACAGCCCTAACCCTAACCATACTCCTAACCCAACCTTAACCTTACTCCTAAACCAATCCTCACCCTACTCCTAACCCTAATCTTAACCCAAACCTAACCATAACCCTACTCCTAATCCAATTCTCACCCTACTCTTAACCCTAATCTTAACCCAACCCTAACCATAACCGTACTCCTAACCCTACTTTTAACCCTATCCCTAGTCCTAACCTAACCCTAACCCAACCTTAACCCTACTCCTAACCCTACGCCTAACCCTACTCTTAACCCTACTCCTAACCCAACCCTAACCCTACTCCTAACCCTACCCTAACCCAACCCTACCCTAACCCTACTCTTAACCCTAAACCTACTCCTAATCCAACCCTAACCCTGCTCCTAACCCTGCTCCTAACCCTACTCCTAACCCTACCCCTAACCTAATCCTAACCCTAACCCTTCCCTAACCCTATCCCTACTCCTAACCCAACCTTAACCCTAACCCAATTCCTAACCCAACCCTAACCCGAAGTGCCGAATTCCCGAAGTCCTGATCTTCGGAAGTGCCGAATTGGCGAAGTCCCGAATTGCTGAAGTGCCGAATTTTGGAATCCTCATTAATATATACTGAAAAAAAATGTTTGTTTTTTCCTGGTCTTCATTAGCTAACAGACCCATCTCTGTTTCCATTGTACACTTTCATTTTTTTTTTTCTTTTTAGTATTGATGTACTTGAAAAGTTGGTGCTTGTACCAGTTGTGACATAAAGTGTCATTTAACACATTCAAAAACTTGATTCCCCTTGCGGAAGTACTAGTCACTCTATCCCAATTTATTAAAATCTCCAATAATTAACATGTTACCCCGATGTGCAGCTTTCCCAATTTGCTCTAACAGCTGTTCTTCCTCACTAATATTTACATTAGGTGGTTTATAACATATCCCAACCAATAATTGATTTCCCTTAGTTTGCCCCAAGCACATTGTCCTATAGGTCTTTTTATTTGTATGAAATACCATTGTTGGTGTAAATGTGTATTTGTACTGCTGTATTGTATTGTTATATGTTTTTGATGTTTGTATTTTATAATTTAGTTTTTAATGTTATAAAAAAAAACACATTGTATTTTATAGCTTCTTTATAGCACGTCTATATTTTTTTCTCATACACTGAATCCAATACATAGAAAAAAATCACATGGGGAATCATACAGGCACTCATAACAATATAATACAATATTCATAACGGAGTAGAGCAGACAGACACTAACAAGAAATACATCCTCTGCCTGCATAATCCATAATATTCAAATCTACCTGAATATGCAAAATAAGTAACCTTGCTAGTCAGATAATATTCAGTGCACACAATTGTTGCAACCAACATGTGGTACTGCACAGGCCCCACAGCCAGATAGGGTATAGCACAAGACGTTCCCTAAATAACATAACACTTAAACAAAGAGTCATCCATGGACCTACCTGAAGTGTCAGACATATGGTAACGACCATAACAAATTTCCCCTTCCCAATGGAGCCTAACCTTGGGGAAGACTCTGAACAGGTTTACTCCCAGTTTAGTCAGTACTTTCATTTTTCAATCCTAAAACCAAAGTAATGTTCATAATAAAATACAATTGGAAAAGAGTCCCTTACAAGCCAACCACATCATCTCCCGTAGTATGCATCTGCCGCTGGGGAGGAGTGCCAATTACACCTTCTCCCTTAAGTCTAATCAGCTGCTGGACCTACATCATGTGTGAAACATATGCTCTCAGAGATGGTGACTACCGTCACAATGTTCTATTAATTATCACTAGACATGTGCAATTCGTTTCGGGTTGAATATGAATTCGGACGAATTTCGGGCAATTCGGACATTCGGGTACTTCCGAATGTCCAAATAGCCGAATTGCCGAAGTGCCAAATTACCGAGGTCCCGAAGTTCCGAAATTACCGAATTTCCGAAGTGCCGAAGTTGCCGAAGTGCCGAAGTTCTGAAGCACAGTATTGCCTAAGTACTAATATACTTACCCAGTGTAAGAAGAAGAATGTTACACTGTATACAATTTTAAATAAAAAGTATACAAACATAACCAGGATTCAGCTGTAAGAATTTGCAACACTTACAACAATCAAGTAACATACATTCATATAAAATGTAAGTTACTTGGCCAGTCAGTGTAATGACAGGAATGAATAAGTACATAACTCCCTAATTCCCATGGTATTAGGGAGCTATCTACTAAAAGGCTGAAAGACCTAAATTGGTCTTTCAGCCAAATTTACTAATATTAAGTAAAGATTACTTAGTATTAGTAAATTATGCCCCTACTGCTGTGCTGTGAGTAGGGGCATGTCTATTAAAAAAACAAACAAACAAAAACATTCCCCCTCCCACTCCTAACCTGAAGGGGGGACCTATTGCCCCCCCCACCTCCACCCCTCTACGGCGGGTGGGGACCCTAAAGTAAAATAAGGGGGGGACCTATTGTCCTCCCCACGGCCCCCACCCCTGAGCGGTGGGTGGGGGCCCTAAATACTAATTGGGGTGGGGGCCAGGGGGGAGGAAATTAGGTCCCCCCATTCTAATTTAGTGTCTCCACCCACCGCTCAGGTGTGGGGGCTGGGGGGAGGACAGTAGGTCCCCCCCATTATTTTACTTTAGGGCCCTCAACCGCCGCCAGGGGTGGGGGCCGGGGGGGGAGGACAATAGGTCCCCCCCATTATTTTACTTTAGGGCCCCGACCCACCCGCCGCTCAGGGGTGGGGGGCAGGGGAGGACAATAGGTCCCCCCATTATTTTACTTTAGGCAATAGGGCCCCATTTACTTTAGGGCCCCCACCTGCTGATCAGCCCCCCCTTTAGTTTAAAAGCCCCCACTCGCACATCTCGGGTGGGGGCTCGGGAGGGCGGACCCATTTTTTAATTTTTTTTTTTTAAAATGGGTGCTCACTGTTTAATAGACATGCCCCTACTCGCGGTATAGCGAGTAGGGGCACAATTTACTAATACTAAGTAACTTTTACTTAGTATTAGTAAATTTGGGTGAAAGACCAATTTAGTTCTTTCAGCCTTTTGGTAGATAACTCCCTAACACCGTGGGAATTAGGGAGTTATCTACCAAGAGGCTGTAAGAGACGTTCCGAAATTCCGAACTCCCGAAGTGCCGAAGTTGCCAAAGTTGCTGAATTGCCGAAATTACCAAATTTCCGAAGTGTTGAAGTGCCGAAGTGCCGAATTGCCAAAGTCCCGAATTTCGGAATGCCGAACTGAACTGAAACATTTTCCCATGCACATGCCTAATTATCACTTACAAAGCACATTGTTTGTGCATGTGTGTAAGGTGCTTCCATTTTTGTAGCTTAATATCACAGTAAAGATGGGGTTTTTAGGTTCACGTAGATTATTTTCTTGGTATTTTTCTTGGTATTGAAATTGTATTTCAATAATGGTTTACCAGTTACTACTTGTATGACAAAGCCCATATTGCTAACTAATTTCAGAACTATTTTCACATGTACGGGCAGCTTACTATCAATTAACTAGATTACAGATGTTTATTAAAATGAGCACTTCATACTTCTCTTCCTAATATGTAGAGATTATATCAATTAAAGAGAGTTAACTTTCCCTTTTGGCATCATGGGCTTCAATTTAAGTAAAAGAAAATAATTGGCACAGTTGATCAGTTGGGAGCACATGAAGCAATGTATTAATGCCACATGCCATTCCAGCGTAAAAAATGATGCAAAACATTATGACCGTACTTGATTATATAGCCAAAATGATGCAGACATGGCTTCATTCTGGTGTCGCTTACCTATGGCATTCTGGCACTGTTCTGATGACGTCAGACCTATATAATTTCAGACCACTAGAAAGTCTGCTCCCTGTTGTGGTCTGTAATAGCCAATAGTGCGTTTGTTACTGTTCTTTGTTCATCTTGTTACTGTTTTCTGGATTGCCTTGTATATTCTGAATTCTTTTATCCTGACCTTTTCTCTCTTGAACTTGGCTTGTTCTTTTACTATTCTTTTACTTTACTACTTAAGCCCAGCCATTCTAAGGACCAATAATATGGCCTGTTTACTGTTCTATAATTGTGTGTTGGATATCTGTACAATACTGATACTAACTACTGTATATCCCATGAGGTTTAAAAGTTGTCTCATCACTTTGTATGGTGGCTAAATAAAGTATAAGAAATCCATAATCAAGATTTGGTGCATTTATTCTAAATATATGTGAAACTGTTTTGTATTGGGACTTTTGCTCTGAACACGTTTAGCGTAATTAAGCAGTTTTGGTGTATAGATCATGTACCTGAAGTCTCATTGTTAAATTTACTGTCATTTAGAAGTTGAACCACTTTATTCATGCATAACTGAGTGAGACTCACACAGG